AGAGGAGTCGCCCCCTGGTGGCCACTAGAGAGAATGCAGCTTTAACAACATTAAGTGTGTTATCGTCTGCAGCTGCTGGTGAGGCCGATGATGATGGTGTGAAGATGGAGGCTCCTGAATACCTGGACCTGGATGAGATCGACTTCTCTGATGATTCAGTGGTCAGTCGTCATTTAAACATGAATATTAGATTCTAGCCATCATGGAGGAGGAAGTAGAGTTTTAGTTTCAGTCTGTACTTAAAGTAAAACAACTCAAATCTAAATATAACTTCATCTCTCTCTCTGCAGTATTCTGTGACGTCTCTGAAGAGCATCCCAGAGTTGTCCAGGAGGAGTGATGGCCCGGCCGAGGACAGACCAGGTAACCACGTCTTATTGTGAAAGGGTTTTAATTTCACCTTTTATGTAACCAGGAGGAAAAAAGACTCACTGAGATTAAAAAAATGTATTTTTTCAACAGCTGACCAAAAAAAATGTAAAATCAAACATATAATCAATTTAAAATAGAATAAAATAAAATTACAGAATTATTAGACATCAAAAAACTTTCTTTAACTCCTTTTTTAGTAGGATGTAGTTCAGAAGGAAGCAATCTTAAGGTCTTAAGGCCTACGGTTCAATAAAACGTTTTATATAGATTTAAAGACTAGCAGGATCCTGTTGAGCCAGTCTGTCTGCTAAACTGTTGTATCGTCTAAAGATACCGTGAGTTATTTTATCGAGTTTCCTTTTACTGAATTTGAGTTACAGTGTATATTGTCTAAGGCTTTTATTGTGAAAGGTCAGAACAGAAGGAGTGGATATCTGGTCTGAGATGTCTGTTGTCAAGGTTGAAAGTATCAATAAAGTTTTATGTATTGGTTCAGAACAAAGAGCCTTTGTGTTGTTGTTGTAAACTTATTGATTATATGTCCAACGTGATTGGTTGATGCTTTTATTAGCGGAGAGAAAGCTCAGAAAACAAACGACTAAAACTGAAGTATTTTAAAAGTAAGACCAGAATCACCTGTTGTCCCGCCTCCTCTTCCTGCAGCTCCGGCCATCAACTGGAGTCGCAGCGTCTCCTCCCTCGGCGGCGGCGGTGGGATCAAACCCACGGGGCTCACCGAGGCTCACGGTAACAAGTTCCGACCCGTGAAGAGGGTCTCGCCTCTCAAGCACCAGCCGGAGACCACCGACTCGGACTCGGACGGTAAAGTCCAGGTGGAGCTGGTGGAGGAGGCCGGTAAGGATGAGCCCGACTCGGACAAACCAACCCAGGCCTCCAGCTCCAAGGAGGCCAAGGGGCCGAGCGCTGGTGGAGGAGGAGGAGGAGGGAACAACCCCCAGGCTCTGTTCGGGGAGCTGGAGCACTACGATCTGGACATGGACGAGATCCTGGACGTGCCGTACATCAAGTCCAGCCAGCAGATGTCCACGCTGCCCCGCGTCGCCCACGACAAGCGCTCGGTGACGGGGAGCAACCTGGGCGGAGGAGGAGGAGGAGGAGGCTCCAGCAACCTAGGAGGAGGAGGCACCCTGGAGAGGAGCCGAGGAGGAGGAGGAGGGATGAAGAGCTTGGCGTTGCCCCACGGAGAGCCTCTGAGCCTGGGCAGCAGCAGCAGCAGCTCACAGACTCAGGTACTCTTTAAGACTCTTAATCTGAAAAGGAAATATACATCTGGCCTTCAGAGTAAAAGCATGACATTTGTAATTCTGTTGACACATTTAATTTGTACATTTCAAACACGTTTGGTAAAAAAGGATTCACACAATGAGTTCTGGTGATGAACACTGAATGTAAACATAACTTTTGTTTCCAGTAAACGTGTTCTCAGGATTCCTTCAGGTTTCATCACGTCGTGTGATTCATGTAATCTTTGTTATAATGAATCTTTCAATCATCGATGATGTGTTTCCTGCAGTACTGCGTTCTGTCTCCGGTGAAGTGGTCCGACCTCAGGAAGTCGAAGTCCATGGATCCAGACCTGCACCTCCTCCACCGCCCACCAGCAGGAGGAGGCTTCCAGTCAGAGCTGCTCTCATCGGGACTCCTCAGCTGCTCCTCCTCCCTCTCCTCCTTCTCTGATGCAGGTAGGACCTGTGTGTGTGTGTGTGTGTGTGTGTGTGTGTGTGTGTGTGTGTGTGTGTGTGTGTTTCACTTCATGATTTAACTTGTTTAAACTACTTCCAGACAAGCTGCTGTCGGCTCGGGTCTACCCAGACTCTCAGAGCCAGAGGCCGGGTGTGGAGCCTCCAGGAGGCCCGGGCATGAAGTTCCCCAAGCCGGGCAGGCAGGACGCCTCCAAGCCCTGGGCGTCTGGACCACCAGGAGGAGGAGGAGGAGGCAGCAGCGTTGGTCTGCCGAGGGGGTTCGGAGGAGGAGGACCAGGAGGGGAGGTGGACGAGGAGACCAAGAAGAACCAGAACATCATCAACATTGTCAGAGAGGGACAGATCTCTCTGCTGGTGAGTGGGAGGTCCTCACCTTCACATTTGATGTTTGTTTGTTTGTTCCTCTTCTTCACCTCGTCGTCGTCCTCCTGCAGCCTCATCTGGCGGCTGACAACCTGGAGCTGATCCTAGACCAGGACGGGAACAACCTGCTGCACGTCTCAGCCTGTCAGGGTCACGCTGACTGTCTGCAGCACCTCACCTCTCTGATGGGGGAGGACAGCCTGAACGAACGCAACAACCAGCAGCTCACCCCCGCTGGGCTGGGAGTCAAGGTGTGTGTGTGTGTGTGTGTGTGTGTGTGTGTGTGTGTGTGTGTGTG